CCCAAATTGCCAATTTTTATACATTATAAACTGAAGAGAATAGATCTTTTGGTGGTGGTGGTTACAGTGGTTATGTGCTATGGAGACGGTTCCAGCTCATAGTGACCCTGTATAGGGTTTCTGAGGCTGTGAAACACTCACAGGTTCCAAAGATTAGTCCTTGAGTACCTTTGGGAACCATTATTCAGCCTGCCACCTACCACACACGGCTTTTGTATATTGTGACTGGAATGCTGCTTCCACCCCATTACTCTGCATGGCCAGCCCCTTTCCATTTCTGAGATTATGGTTTCTATGATACCTCCTCCAAGTACCTATCTCTAACCAACTGAAATCTAAACATTTCCCTCGTCTTGTTGTTGTTAGGTGCCATTGAATCAGTACCAACTCATAGTGACCCTATGCACAGGAGAACGAAACACTGCACAGCCAACCTCACAATCGTTGCTACATTTGAGCCTATTGCTGCTGACTGTACCAGTCCATTTCATTGGGGGTTTTCTTTTTCTCTGACCCAGTCCTTCTCCAAGGACTGGCCCCTCCTAAAAATATGTCTGAAGTATGAGAGACCAAGTCTGGCCATCTTGTCTGGCTTCTAAGGAGCATCTGGTTGTACTTCTTCTAACTCAGATCTGTTTGTTCTTTTGGTGGTTCATGGTACTTTTAATGTTTCTCCTCTAACACCATAACTCAAATGCATCAATTCTTCTACAGTCTTTCTTATTCACAGGCAACTTTGACACGCATACAAGATTTTTGAAAATACCATGACTGGGGTCAGGCACATTTTAGTCCACAAACTGCCCTCTTTGCTCTTGGACATTTTAAAGCAGTCTTGTACAGCAAAGTCCTCATCTTGGACTTTGTTTAATTCTCTCCTAGCATTTACCAGGGTGAACCTTACTTTATGTACTTTTTTGGCTCCTTTGTTTGTTTCCTGCATCTCACTCTAAATTCATTGTTGTTGTTAAGTGCCATTGAGTTGGTTCCAACCCATAGCAACCCTGCATAGGGGTTCTGAGGAGCAGTTGGGGTTGAACCACTGACTTTATGGCTCAAATGGACTTTACTGTCCAGCGCGATAACCCACAGCGCCATACCAGGACCTGTAGGTGCTTCAACAAAAGGGACCATGTTTATTTTGTCCACCCACTGATTTTCACAATAACCACTAGTTGTCAGGCGTTAACTTAGATTCACAGACGTTGCATGCATGTTAGATGAGGACTGTCCTCCATAAGAGAATTTTTCAAAGTACATTGAAGGACTTTCTTCTGAGGCACCCCTGAGTGGACTTGAAACCAAACTTTTGGTTTGTAGCCAAACACATTAATTATTTGCATTACTCAGGGACACTTCAAACATGACTGTTGTTGTTGTTAAGTGCTATTGAGTCAGTTTGACTCATAGCAATCCCCTATATGGTTTCCAAGGAGCCACTGGTGGGTTTGAATTGCTGATCTTGTGGTCAGCACGCCAATGCTTATCCTACAGCACCATACCAGAACCCTAAATCATGACTAGTTAATAAATAATTGCTAAATGAATTTGTTGCTGTTGTTGTTAGGTACCAGCGAGTCAATTCTGACTCATAGCAACCACATATGACAGAGTAGAACTGTTCCATAAGGCTTTCTGGGCTATAATCCATACATAAGCAGAACACCAGGTCTTGCTTCCAGACTCATTAGAAGAAAGCCTTAGGTTCAAACCACCAACCTTTTGTTTGGCTGCTGAGTGATTGATCATTGTACTACCAGAACTCTTTAATTGAATTTAAGGAAAAAGAATTTGTAGCAAATGGACTGGCCTTTCTCCATCTTCCTCCTGTCCTTATATATCAGAAACTATGGTCTAGGCAGAAAATAACTCCAGCGAGAACCCACAGACACACCCTCACACACAGGAGGCTCAAGATATGTTCCTGGCACCCTGACATCTTTCATGGGAGCAGGACTTGACTTTGGTGAGCAGTCACCTGAACCCTTGTTCATTAAATGCACCTAAGAATTACTTCAATAAGGCCTTAAACCAGGCTTGCTTCAGAGAACATTACCAAACCTTCTCCATCTTTCTCGTGTTGCAGAATCCTAGAGCCACTGTAATAGAATTGAGGGAGGCCCTGGAATTCTTTCACAATTGCTGTAGTATTTCTGCCTGGCCATTGCAAGGCTCAGGCATAGCTTAAAACTTCATGCTGGGTTGGACTTTTTGAAGCCAAAGCCAAAAGAGTTTTGATTGCCAGCCTATTTCTAAGAATTTATTTTTCCTTAAGCAATAAACTATTTGTAAAAATAATTTTTGATTCCTCTTTAAGTAGAAAATTGTGTTTTAATATCTGATGTTTTCAGCAATATTTTCAAATGTTTCATCATAATAAAGAGTGTTGGTGACTCAGTAGTTTTATCTTTTGTAATTATTTACAGCAGAGTGATCATGGTCATGTTTTCTAAAAGAAATACAAATGTTTTTACAGCACAACAAAAGAAGGAAGGAAGGAAGGAAGGAAGAAAGGAAGGAAGGAAGGAAGGAAGGAAGAAAGGAAGGAAGGAAGGAAAGGAAAGGAAGGGCCTTCAGCCGCTGCTGAAGTTACTTATGCACAACCAAACACCTCATGGGATTTGGTTTCTTGGTTTGGAGGTTTAGGGTCATAGTTCCATGGGACAGTCCATCAGTGTCTAGTTTGATTCACCTGGAACAATAGAGGAAGAAGAGTTAGGACTAGGAAGAAGATAAGGAATTTATGGGGAATTGCCTCCATTAACAACTGCTTCTTTTGCCATTGAACCAGAAGAACTGGATGGTGTGTACTTACCATTGCTGAACATTTTGATCAAAGATTCCATAGAAGCATCTTGATCAAAAGAGGGAAATTACAGGCCAGAATTTCAAATTTTCATGGACTCCAAGAAGTCCATGGATGGACTCCTTAAACTATTGTCTCCAGATAATCTTTAAACCTTAAGCAAAAAGTATCCCCTTAAGTCTTTTTTTTTTTTAATTTAAGTTTTATTGTGAATTATGTGACAGTTTACATGGGAGAACATTTGTTCTACATTCATGTCATCGCACATCGTTTTATTGCCATGGCCACAATCCCCTCCACGCATCACCAATCAATGAAAGGGTGCATCCTATAAGCCTGCTTCACTCCTGCACCTCCTAACCACCACCCCCGGTCATAAGCACCCCGGTCATCAGCACACAGCCCCTCTTCATCCCTGGGTCCTGAGTCCCCAGCTGCTCCATCTCTCCATGTCCACGTCATCATCATTGCCTCCATCTCAAGGATCGCTACCTTTCTGGGTAGGGTTCTGCTCTCCACTCTTCTCCCTTCATGGTTCCAGGGACCTCCGCTCCCTGCCTGCAAAGTCAATCACTCCCCTCCTTGCCACAAAATGCCCACTTTTACATTTACAACCGTCACAATCAGTCCTGGTAACAATTATTCACCCTTGCGTCCCAAGAGACCTATCCATATTTCCTTTAATCAGTCCCGCCTAGCCAGATTGGATACTACTCGGTGGAGATTCTACCTTGTTCCACGCCTTCTGGATCTAGGTTCCCTCTTGAAAGCTTGTAAGCCAGTCACTTCTTGCCTTTGTAGCCCCCCATTTTGGATAGTCAATGTCCAAGTTGCCCATCCTTGTCTACTCTGTGTATGCAGGGGGTGGGAGTGATCCCTGCTGCAAAGATTTGTCCTCTCTTTTGAGCTACTGCATCCACAGATGTAGGTCAAGTTCATCTAATTGTATCAGGTTACTCTTTTTTTTTCTCTTCTTTCTTCTTCTAGTTGAGCTCTGATCACCCAGTCATTGAGGCTAGGTCAAATGTTAAGTCTTTTTTTAAAAAGTTTTTATTGTGAATTGAGTGAAAGTTTACAGGGCAGATCATCAGTTTTACATTCAACAACCTCTTAAGTCTTAATATCATGCAATAGCTTAGCTTGGCTAGTAAACAATGTCTAACTGGAGCATTATGCTCTTTTAAGAACTACAAGGGATCAAACTGACAACAGTAACTGGAAAGTTTAGAAAGGAACTTTCGGGGGCAGTGCACTTACATTAACTGGGGAGGAACAACTTAGACTAAGGAGATTGAGAACTATTGCACAACTGGAAGAATGTTCATGTAGAAACTGTGGAATCGATGCATATTTTGGTGTATATATTCTCAACAACAACAAAATAAGTTATACATAAAATACCTACTTTGGAGAAGAAAACAAAGTAGATTATAAATATGGACCAGCCTTCACAACTAAGAGTATGTGCATAGCACCTGACAGTTTACACATGCATCAGTTCAAATATCAAAGCCGAACACACCAATATTCTAAATCCTCAGTCACAGAGGATGCTCCATATGCAGGCGTTCAGGATGAGCTGGAGGAGGTAGATCTGGGGTGACCCAAGTCATGAGTCTCCACAGGGCAGACTTCCAGCACACACCCTCCTCACTGTGGGTCTTGGTCTCTGTACAGGCAGTATTCACTCAGTTAGTATACTGAGCCCCCACTGATCCCTGAAGGATCAGCTAGAAATTGGCCCCATCATGTGAAGTGTGGCTACCCCTCACCTATATCTATGGATCAACTTTTGAGAAGAATTTGTTGGCAAAAATGTTACTTCCAGGTGTCATCCAGTCAGTTTCAAGTCATAGTGACCCTATGTGACACAACAGAACTACTCCATAGAGTTTGGGTTGTAACTTTTGAAGGTGATCACTAGCTCTTTCTCCCACCAAAATATCCAACTAACAGCTGAGCACGTAACTGTTGTGCCACTAGGAATCCTTATGGCAGAAGTAGAAGTGAGAAAAGTCTACTGCTGTTAAGCACTGATGCACCTTCTTTTACCAGGAAAACAAAAATGCCCAGTTTTAGTCCCAGAAAGCGATGTCAGTCTGAGCAGGACAGAATGCTATCGGAATGGGCTGCTGCCATATGCATTCCAGCTTCTGTGTCCAAGCAAACTGAGATAAGTGTTGGCCCAGAGACATTAAAGCAAGAGTCTGGTGTCCTTGTGGCTGAACATCTTGATTTCCTCTGGAGAGAAAGTATTCCCTCGGAGCCTAAAGGGGGGCAGAGTAAGAAACATATGAGTGAGACAAAACCCAAGCAGTACTTTCCAATAGAAGCTGCTACTTTTTCAACACAAGCCTTAAGGCTGGCTGTGCTCTCCTGGGAAGTCAGACTGTGATGTTTGGACTTTCTATCAGTCATGGCAGCTTCTGAATCATTTTGCATGATGAGCAAGACTCTGAGATGCTGTGAGGAGAGAGCCCACATTAAACCAAGCAGGCCACAGACTATCAGAAGGCAGCCATTCTTTTTAAGGCAACAGCAGAATCCATCAAGAACGCAATGAGCAAGTCCTGATACCCTTCCAAATTCTGTAAACATGATAGCAAATCAAATTAGAACCCTTGAAATATCAACCTCATGCTGACTTGCTCCCTCTGGATACAGAATGTGACATATCTTAGGACTATGTAATCATTTAAAAAATAAAACCACACACACTAGCCAGGACTACAGGGATTATATAACTATGCAGAAAGGAAAAGCTCACATACACAGGAAAGATGTTGAAAGTTTTATTTAATTTTGTTTTTCACACTGACATTTGCTGTCTTCCTTGACTGCTGTCTTGATATGACTTTGTAATGAAGAAACAAGATCTATTTCTGCATATGTGAAGTGGGGGTCACAAACTTATAGGGATTAGGTGAGTCATATCCAGGAGTCAAAGGGGCCCAGTCTAATACTTGATGGGTCAAGTAGGGCTTGGTGGGTCAAGTAGAGCAAGGCCACACATCTGAGTGGCATAGGTCCTTCCTCTCTTCTGGTTAATTACTAGCATTTTAAACAGGAGTCCAAAGCTGCCAAATCTTTTGAGAAAACTATGAAATACAGATTTGACATGAAATCTCCAGGTTTTGAAATACTAGAATCTAGCCCAGTGCTGTTGTTGTTGGGTGCCATTGGGTTAATTCTGACTGACTTCATCTCCAGGTGACAGACGAGAACTGCCCCCATATGGTTTCCGAGGCTGTAGTCTTTTCTTAAGAAAAACTATTTATGGTGAATTGAGTGAAGGTCTACAAACCAAATCATCAGTTTTACATTCCACAAATGATATACGTCATTTCATCTCAATGACTGCAATCCCATCAATGTATCCCACTTCCTCTCTGTGTTTCTTGTTTTCATTCCTCCTTCTTTCCCAGCCCTTCTGAACCTTGTCCTTGGGTAAATGTGGCCATTTTTATCTCAAATGGTTGACCAGTCTATAGTGTGCACACTTCACTAGTGTTGTTGTTTCCCCTATATCCGTATCTACTGCTTAGCTGAAAATTAAACCAAGCAGTAGATAGGGATATAGGGGGTGAGTTGAGTTCCAGAGCTGAAGGGTGACAAGGGACCATAGTCTTGAGGTTCCGTCAGTCTCTATCTAAACAGTAAGCCTGGTCTTTTTTATATGATTCTGACTTTTGTTCCACATTTTTTCCCACTCTACCCTTCAATGTGATCCTTTCCAAATAGTGGGTAGTGGTAGCCGGGCATCATCGAGTTCTTCCGGTCTCAGAGTCATGGAGCTGATGTTCACATGGTCCATTAGTCCACTGGACTAATTGTTTACAAGCTTCTTCAATTTTCATCAGTCTTTCCTCCAGAAATAGATAGACCAAGAGTTGTACCTTATATGGCCACTCATGACCTTTTAAGATCCCAGTTGCTACTCACCAAAAGTAAGTTATAGAGTCTTGTCTCTGTGGACTATGTTATGCCAATGGACCATGGTGTTTCCCTGAGACTATGGTCCTGAGCCCCCGGCCTATCAACTCATTCCCTCAAGAGGTTTCCATCCCTTTGCCCCTTGTATGGTCCACCACATTGTGGACCTAGGCTGTAATCTTTACAGAAACAAATTGCTAGGTTTTTCTCCTGTGGAGCCACCAGGTGGGTTCAAACTGCCAACCTTTCACTTTAGCTGCAGCACCAGGGCTCCTAACCCATGGCTAGAGAAATACCAGCCATTACTCATGACGTATTAAACCAGTGAAACTCTTTCTACTTATTATCTGAGTTAAAAATGTATGGTGACCTTATGCACAATAGAATGAAATGCTGCCAGGCCCTGTGCCATCCTCACAATGGATTGTTGGTCAAACCGTAATTGATTGTGATTCATAAGGTTTGCACTGGCTGCTTTTCAGAAGTAGAACACTTGGATATTCTTCCTAGTCCCTCTTAGTCTGGAAGCTATTCAGCATCACAACAACATACAAGCTCCCACCGAAAGACAGGTGGTAACTGTACACCAGGTGCCAGGGATCAAACCCAGGTCTCCTACATGGGAGGTAAGAATTTTACCACTGAACCTCCACTGCCTTCATGAGTTAGATTCCTAGAAAGAAGGAGGATACATTTTTGAAGGTGTGACTCAATGCTCTTTTTAAATACAGGATGATGGAGTATGGGTTCTAAATACACTCATGTCCATTGTACAACAACCTCCACCTATGTGGCCTTCACTCAGAGCTGCATTGTGTGTGCTATAGCATCCTTGGGCTAGGAAGATCTGTCTTTCTAGGAAGCTCAGGAGGGGCAGGAGCTAAGCTTTCTTCTTTTTCTTTTCATTCTTCAAATTCATTTCCAATACCATCCTATTGCCTAGAACAGGGAAGTTTCTGAATATCATGATTAATCAATGAAAGATTTGACTTCTCCCAGAGATGTGATGAACTTCTTGTCCAGACAGAGAAATAGATCTATCCCATACAAAAACCCACTCACTGCCATTAAGTCTGTCCCAACTCATAGTGACCCTGTATAGGATTTTAGGATTATAAATCATTGTTGTTGTTGTTGTTGTTATGTGCCGTGGAGTCGGAACTGACCCATAGCGACCCTGTACAGGGTTTCCGAGGGTGTAAATCTTTACGGGAGTAGAAAGCCTCATCTTTCTCCCGCGGAGCAGCTGGTAGTTTCGAACTGCTGACCTTGCGGTTCACAGCCCGAGTCGTAACCACTACGCTACCAGATCATTTACAGGAGCAGAAAGCCTCATCTTTCTCTCAAGAAGTGACTGGTGGGTTTGAGCTTCGACTTGGCAGTTATCATACACAGAATAGCATCAAATGTCAGAGTCCAAAGTTCCTTTCATCCCTTGCCCCATTATACAGACTAAAAAACCAAGGTACACAGAAGTAAAGAGATCTGCCCAGGGGACTTACCAGATTTCCCTGATGGTATTATTTCTTTCAAGGGCCCACAGGAGGGCTTCTGCCCCAGTGCAGGTGATGAAGTTGTTGGACAGCCTGGAAAGAAAGAAGGAATTGCAAGTTTTCAGAATGCTTGTATTTTTAAGGTTTACCCAGTTAAAGGAGGAATCACACAAGTCCACAGAGGAAATAGTTGAAAAACTGCTGGAAGAAAATTTCTCTAACATCCTGAAAAGTGAAAAGAAAAACATAAAAGAAGCTCATCAAACCCCAGGAAGAATATACCCCAAAAGAAAATAACTGAGACATTTCACAATCAAGCTCTCCAAAATCAAAGGTGAAATTATTCTGAAAGCAGCTAGGGAAAAGAGAAGCGTTACACTCAAAGGAAAATAGTCAGATTAAGCTTGGATCTCTCAGGAGAAACCATGCAAGCAAGAAAGCAAAGGGGAGATATATATAAAACCCTGAAAGTAAAAAACTGCCAACCAAGAATCCTTTATCCAGCAAAGCTATCAAATACGATGGTATAATCAAAACATTCCAGGATAAACAGAAGCTAAGGGATTTTTCCAAAGCCAACCCTGTGCTACAAAACATCCAAAAGGGAGTTCTGTGAACTAAGAACCAACAAGAACAGACAACAACTAGAGACTGACATATGTGGCAGTACCTCCCAGAACTAAATCAACAGAAGGAAGAGTTGAGAACAGAACAAAACTACAAGAACAGACTCAGAGAATCTAGGTCAGTCTATGATCAAAACAATTACAATGGAAAAGAAGGTAAACACGTAGGAACAGAGATCCAGACATTGAGAAGGTCAGATAGACTACAAAATAAAATAGACTGCACTAAATGGAGGGAAAAAGCAATGGAATTAAGGTAACCTCAAAGGAAATTAACACTTCACAACATATTAAGAAAATGAAAATTCAAGAAGAACATGGAAACATTAACACAATGAGGAAACTCACAAGAAAGAACACAAAAACTATGAACTCAGCAAAGGAAGACACACAGAACAAAGAAAGCAGGAACACCACAATAAAACAACAACAACAACAACAAACCCCAAACATATTGGCAGCAATTAATCCATACCTACAGGAGCTCTGGTAGCGTAGTGGTTACGAATCGGACTGCGAACCTTAAGGTCAGCGGTTCGAAACT